ATAGACCCAATATATTGTTTTTCTGCAAGATTGCTACCAAGATGAAATACAAGATGATAGGACAATACTTGCTTGGTTATTCCAACAATTGTTGTGGTGTTGCTGCATGCCATCAAGTCAGCTCAGACTCGTAATGACCCTATGTACAACAGAACAAAACACATCCCAGTCCTTTGCCACCCTCACAATCCTTCCTATACCTGAGCCTGTCTTTCCAACAATTAGCCCCTTGGAATGACGTGCAAGGTAGACTGTAGCAAAATCCATGTGTTCAGGTACTTTCCAGCCAGTACGTGAACAACTGAGGCTTGTTCCTAGATGGCAATTTGAGTAATACTAATCCCTATTCCTCAGCTATTCCTCAGAAGAAAGGTTGGGCAATCTACTTCTGTAGTGATAACACCTCAGAAACCCAAGGAGGGGTCACTATGAGTTGCAATTGACTGACAGCAGTGAGGTTTTTTTTTTTTTTTTTTTAATCCCTATTCCTGTTCTAGGAGCCCTTGTGGCACAGTGGTTGAATACATGGCTGCTAACTGAAAGGTCAGTGGTTCAACCACAATGGTTCCAACCCACCAGCTGCTCTGCCAGAGAAAGGCATGGCATTCTTTTCTGTAAAGATTGCAGCTTTGGAAACCCTGTGGGACAGTTCTACTCTGTCCTAGAGGATTGCTGTGAATCAGAATCAACTGAATGGCAATAGGTTTTGGTTTTGGTCTATCTATTAAATACTAGTATATTAATTGTGGATTAAATATTTTGTAATAGCTTTACTCGACAGCAAATAACAACAACAACAACAATAGCTTTACTGAGATAAGGAGTTCTGGTGGCCTGTGGTTAAAGCATTGGTCTGCTAACCAAAAAGTTTGCAGTTAGAACCCAACAGCTGCTCCATGGGAGAAAGATGAGGCCATCTGCTTCCATAAAGATTTACAACCTTGGGAACCCTCTGGGCAGTTTTATTCTGTCCTATCGGGTCATGTGAGTTGGTGGACTCAATGCAGGGGGTTTGGTTTGGGTTTACTGAGATATAATTCACATAGTATATATATTATATAAATTCACTTATTTAAAATATGCAATTCAGTGGTTTTTAGTATAGGCACATGTGCAGTCCTCTGCCCAATCCTGCTTCTATTTCCTCCTGCTCCTGGTATTGATCCTGGAACACTCTCTAATAAACTTCCTGTGTGCAAATCTCATGTAGGAGTCCACTTCCCAAGAAACTTAACCTGATCCACTGTAGAACTTCCTAACATTGTGTTAATTAGAGGATAAACATTTGACATAAGAAGAGATAAGTACCACAAAAGAACTTGTATGAAAGTTATGCTAATCATGTAAAATCACTGACAGACTTGACTCTTATATACGGACATCTCAATATTTTTCAAGTCTCACTTTCAATGCATATGTTTATTTTAGATGACTGTGAAATCTTTCCAAAGGCCTTATGAGTTCAAGGTTCAAGAAGCCATAAAATGTTCTGAAATGTGTTTCATCTGATTTGAGGATTTTTGAGACTCGACTTCATGGTGTTCAGGTCTTTCAATACTCTACATTTTTATGAGTCTGAATCCTTTGTCTCCCCTTATAAGTTGATGATCAAAGTGAAAGTTAGGATGATGACTGAGAGAAAAATAGAGATATTCAACTCAAATTGAATTACATTTGAGTTGAGACTTATTTCATTCAAGCAGCATTTTTTTTTTCTTCTGATTCTCTCTCTAAGTAGCCTTTGTTGTTATTCTCACTTAGAGAGCTATAAGGAGTCTTGAGGAGATACCACAGAGAAAGGAGGATCTGGATGAGAAGGAATGTTTATCCAACATAAAATAGCATGGCATAAGTAGGGTAGGGAACCGAAGTCATCATTAGGGAGGACTAAGGCTGTGGCAGAGCAGTGCCAAGCATCAATCCAAGGAGGAAATAAGAGAACAAGGAACCAAGCTGACAAGCAGGAGGGTTAGACATTGAACAGAATTGTGCATCTGGCACAAGTGAAGGAATGTGGTTCAGTAGCAAGACAGTGAATAGTGAGTCTATGCTGGAGCTTCCTTTCTTGGGTTGCCTGGTGTACACAGAGGGAATTAATGTTGATTTCATATCTGCCCTAGTTTGGATGACTTCTGTATCTTCATCTTCTTTTCCCTGCGCTCATCTCCTCAAAAACCCACCCATCAAAGATGACAGTAGGGGATGGCAGCTGGAGAATGTGTTGATAAAGAAATAGCCACCTACTGCTATTCAAGTTACCTTAAAAATCTAACCCCAACCTCACGTGTAATAATTCTTCTCCATGTTTCCCAATACCAGAAGAAGCAACTTCTCTCCCACACACCAAATTCCCACGCATCACATTCCAGGGCATCCCATAATCACACAATAACAGAGCCCTCTTACTACAGGTAAGTGCAATGAACCAGAGAACCAGTTGCCAGAAAAACCATTATTGTCTTTTTGCAAATGGGGAAGTATTATGGAAAAACAGTTCTGCACAAAATCCCACAAAACCTTACCTTGCAACTTGAGTCTGAATTGCCTTAGCCTATGATGTGGCTGACAGGGTGGGGAAAGTGGAAAGCTAAGTTCCATTACTCCTGACCATCATCCTGTATTGTAGAGTCCCCAACAAGGCCACTGCTAGAAAGGCAAGGGTAACTCATCTAGAAAGTAAGTCTTATGGCTAAAGCTGATGACTGACAATATAGAGTTGTAAGATTTGTTTGTTTTTTCATTGTTCTACATCCTACTTTGGTGAGTAGCAACTGGAGTCTTAAAAGCTTGCAAATGGCCATCCAGATGCAACAATGGGTCTCTCCTCGTCCAGAGCAAAGAAGAATGAAGAAAAACAAAGATGCATGGAAACAATAAGTTCAAGGGACTAGTAGTAGACCAAGCTACCCTCGGCCTATATGACTATGAGACAAGAACTAGGTGGTGCCTGGCTACCACTGTCAACCACTGGGAAAGGGATCAGTGCAGGAGATCCTACATAGAGTGGAAGAACAATATGGAACACAATTCAAAACCATAAAAAAAAAAAAAAAAAAAAAAGACCAGGTTTACTGGTCTGACAGAGCTTGGTAAGACCCCTAAGACTATGACCCTTAGTTACCCTTCCAGTCTGGAACTGAACTCATTCCTGTGGCTTCCAGCCAAACAAAAGACAGGCATACGGGGTGAACACCTACATCAGGTAGATACACTTCTTGGAGCGATCAAGCATGGGAGAACAAAAGGGCAGTGCTTGCACAGGAAGACAGCTGGGGTGGAGGAGGGGTGCATGGGAGGGAAGGACACAGGGAAGAGGTAAACTACAGGGAGGAAGTGGGAAGAGAGCTGTTACACTGTGAGGAATTGCAGTCTATGCCATTAAACAAAATGTGTATGAAATGCTGTATGGAAAATGAATTTGCTCTGTAACTTTCACCCAAATCACAATTAAAAAAAAAAAAATGTTTTTTAAAACCATGGCAGATTAAAAAGGGACTTCCAACCCTAATTTTGAGATATCACAGATGAGTCCCAAATATCTTTAAGGTATGACTAAATATTTTCAAAGAAGTTAATCTTATTTTTTCTCAATTTAAAAAATACCTCAATAGGTTATAAGAGAACTTTAGAAAAAGGAACTATGTGTTTAGCAGGTGGAATGGGCCCAAACCGTTCCAGTACCTGAAGTTCCTTCAGATTTCCCTTCCTATTATTCTGGATGCCCAAAAGATTAGGAATCACTGGCCTGAAATTTCTAAAGTCAGGATAGATCCCCTACCAAGTGACAACAGAAAGCAAAGGTTGTACCACACCCCATCCAACGAATACCCGCCTACTGCCACTGAGTCACTTCTGACTCATAGTGACTCTAGAGGACATAGTAAAACTTCCCCCATAGAGTTTCCAAGGCTGTAAATCTTTAGAGAAGAAGACTGCTTCATCTTTCTCCTTCAGAGCAGCTGTTGTTGTTGTTGTTATGTGCTGTCAAGTCGGCCCCAACTCATAGCTACCCCTTCTTGGGTTTCAAAGGCAGTATTACTATGGAAGTAGATCGCCCAACCTTCTTCTGAGAAGTGGCTGGTGGGTTTGAACCGCCAACCTTCTGGTTAGCAGTCAAGTGCCTTGTTGTTGTTGTTGTTGTTATGTGCCGTCGAGTCGGCCCCGACTCATAGTGACCCCTCCTTGGGTTTCCGAGGCAGTATCACTACGGAAGTAGGATTGCCCAACCTTCCTTCCGAGGAGTGGCTGGTGGGTTTGAACCGCCAGCCGTCTGGTTAGCAGGCAAGTGTCTTAGTCACTAGGCCTTAGGCACTATGCTACCAGAGCTCCTTTAGAGCAGCTGGTGGGTTCAAACTGCCAACTTTTGGTTAGCAGCTGAATGAATGCTTTAACCACTATACCACCAGAGCTCCTTCATCCAAAGAAAAGATAAACTAAAAAGAAAGAAATGTCTACTAACATGTGCTGTGAACTTTTTAAAAAATAAAAAATAAATAATAATATTTTATTGAGTTTTTGGTGAAAGTCTACACAGCAAATTAAGTTCCCATTTGACAATTTCCACACTGTGACATTAGTTACACTTATCACAATGTGCCAACATTTTCTTTTATCGTGTTTTGTTTGTTCCCTTCCCAGTACTCTAGTTTCCCTGCCCCCTTATCTTCTCATTTTTGCTTTTGAGAAATTTGACCTTGTGGTCTCAAACCGATGGTTTACACTGTGAACTTGAGCAACAAACAACTTCCCTCCCTCCCTCGCTCTAGGCCTCAGTGCCCTCTGAATTTAAATCAAGGGGATTGCCATCTCTAACTTCCAGTTTAAAAATTATATGACCAGACACATACCAAACCCCGCCCCAAGCTTCCTGGAAAATTTGACTATTTATGAGTCTGGCTCCTCCTTCCCTTTCAATTCCTTTGTTAAATAGCTTCCCCTCTAAAATCTTTTCAACTGGAAGCAGCACCTCCTAATTCAAGTCCAAAGCAGCTCTCCCCACTATGATAGTTGTCCCTTTCCTTGTGGTCCGGGCAGCCAGCCTGAGGCTTAGTTTCTTGGTCCTGCTTTCTTTCTGGCTGGACCAAGGTGTGGTGGCCAAGGAGTTGAAGTTTGTGACATTGGTAAGTAGTTATTTTCTCAGTGCTTTTTCCTTAAAACTCTGTTACCAGCGGGATCTGAAAACCAAGTATCAGATTTCATTTTACCTTTGTGCTGTCTCACGGAGAGCTGAAACTGTTCAAACTCAGAAAGTAAATAATCAAGTTTTGCAAGTTCCTCTTAATGAAGACCTAACCGTCCTGACAAAAAGGCGCTTCCTCTCTTTGCCCATGCTATTTATTTACTTTCTTTACAATTGCCTTGGACACACAAGCCTTTTGATAGCTTCAGAGGGCCAGAAGCCCCAGCTAGTGCTTCCATTTTAATGATTCATCTATTTTCATCCAGCTTCATCCATTTTAATGAGTATTAGTTTATTTATAATCACAAAAAAAGTCATTGTGTGAATTAATCAGCCCTTTTGCCTTTTGTCCTTTTGTTTATCAGGAAATTGGAAAATGTATTTGTAAACAGCCTTTGAAGCATGAAAGTGAAACAAAACTCAAAGTTTTAGGATAACTTCAGTATGTATAGATTTGGTTACCCAATTAAAATCAGCCTTTTCTGCATTTGTGTTATGTGTAGCAAAATATGAAAAAAGGGGAGGGTGGACAATGCATGACGTGAGTGAATGAAAATATACTGTTGATGTTGATTAAAGATAGATGGAATGAGGGTTTGGAAAGAAGTGGGGAATTTACCACTTTACATAAGTCCCCTCACATTAATCCCTCTGTCTCTATTTCTGTTCTTTGTGTTTCGCTCAGCCTCTATCCCTCTTCTTATCTTTCACAGGTTCTCTTTCTCTTCCTCACATAATTGACTTGGTATCGTGAAAGTGGACTTATAAATAAGAAAATTTTCTTTCTATAAGAAATATCCAAAATATGTATTTTATAATTTGGAGAGAGTCACCTTTAACTTAAACATTAAACATGAAACTCCAATTTTCTTAGTTTGGTGTATTCAGAATTCTCTTCTTTCTACAGAACATCTTATGGCCTTAAGTTTTGTAAACATGATTCTTAGTCCATTAAATTTTTGCTGGTCATGAGTTAACAATGATGGGGAAAGAGAGAGAGAAAAAAATAGAAGGAAGCAGAAAAATATATCATCAGTTAATTACAAATGACTGTCAGGCTTCTGTGTTGGAGAAAAAACTGTATAATGCTGTGTACTTTCTATAGGGAAAACTGGGTAAGCTAGACTTTTACTTTTGTCCTTGAGTTCCTTGCCAACATATGCATTAAACATATGTAGAGAATCTGTAGAAATTGTACAACCACCACTATACGCATGCGACAAGCTGGCTCAGTGGCAATCCTCTTTGAAATACTTCAGCAAAATCCCATTTCACTGCATGGGGTAGGTTCTCTTCCTCCATACTTCACCCATAGCCCAGGCTAACATCCCATGGTTACCAAGTTGATTGTCATTTTCCTCTCCCCACTCTCAGTTAACATATGCTTAGGAACAACAGGTTAATTTTTCCCTAAGCAAAAAAAATTTACAATGGTAAACCTCTTGGAAATAAAACACCAACAAAAATATTGCACAACATGGAGGGATGGACGCAGGGAAGAGGTAACTATAGGGAGGAAGTGGGAGGGGAGCTGTTGCATTGTGGTAAGCTGTGGTCAATGTCATGAGACAAAGTATATGTGAAATGCTG